TACTAATAGCGACATTTTGGCGACCTTACCTAAGCTCAATTTTTCAAAACTTCCTGAAATCTTTCAAAATTTCAAATTTTTTAAAGCTCAAAACTTCCTGGGTCAGTTTAGTTTTGCCCGTGACATCTGGAAAAATTTGGTAATGTATAAACTAGTAATCAAGCAAACAAGTAGTACACACCAAAAATAGCGACTTCCACAGAAGTAGCGACCTTTTAGCGACCTTTAGCTGATTAACAACCGAGTGATCACCTTGCACCTACTGCACCACCAACAGCACGACCAAACCTCGTCTTAAAAGCAGAAGTCACGATTCCCCCGGTAACGAGGAAGCCGCTGACGCACACACAGTTCCGTGGTTTCCGGAGAAGAATGGCAAAGGAGCTCGCCCGCGTCAGCGAACTAGACATATTCGCCCGAGAATCAACTCAACACAGCACCGCCCCTACATAGCCGAACAAACTTTAAGAAGGGTATATTCTCCAAAACATTGTATAAGCTAATTTATTTTTGTTTGATAGACAAAAAAGGTCGTTTTTACTGTATAAAACAGCAACTTTTTATTTAAAAACAATTTTTAAACGATTTGCAAATTTTTTTTGGAGAATATACCATTCTTAAAGTTTGTTGGGCTACGTAAGGGGCTCACTTTGGTATAATTATGTCTGAGATCGACTGGGTATTTTTGGCGTAATTTTTGATTAACTAAGAAAAGCCAAAATGACCCATTTTTGTGGTAAAATTTTGGGCCCGAATTTCGCAAAACAAATTACACCATATTAATTCTGCTAAAATTTTAAGCAAGTTTTGTCTTCATAAGTTTTCACCTACCTAAACTCAACCCAATTTGAGAAAAACGCGTTTTAAATTTCAAGTTTAACGCGTTTTATCCGGTTAATTTAAATCAGCACTGTATTTCAGAGCAAAACAAAAATGAAACGCCGACAAAAAAGCAAACACGATCTTGAAAGAAGTATTTTGGTCTCAATTAAATTTGAAGGGCAGAATTATTTCAGAAATTTAATACGTTGTCCGATAAATTTGTTAATGGCTAATTTTCCAGTCAGAAACTGTGTCTCAAGCAGGGGGTGTTCCCCTCTCAGGAATTCCACCCCATGCCGACCCTAAAATTTTCTGGTGACGGATCCTAAAATTTTTCTAAAGGCGCCAATATATACTATTTTTGAGGGGGAGCGCGCGGCGAAAAAACGCGATTTTTCGATCAACATTTTCCAAAAATTGCCTGAAAACGCTTTTTTGGCCTCTTCTTTCAAAACTCTGCCGGCGGCCCAGAAAATTTGGTAAAAATGGGGCTTTATAGTAATATAGGAGAACTAAAAATCAATTTGGTCGAAAAAAAGAGGCCAAAATTTTCGACATTTTTTGAAAATCCAACCCCACCTCGAGAAAATCCTAGATCCTCCCCTGGTCTAAAGGATGTCTGAAACATCGAAATAACAAAATTACATACAAAATTTAGTCAAAATAAAAATATTGCTCTGTGAAATTAATTCTGTCTCTCCTAAAGTTTTGCCACTCTTCAGCTTTTGCTTACGAAAAGGGTAATTTGGTCTTTTAAGAAGTTCTGTCTATTGCGTTCCAACATTTTGATAACTATGAAAGGCCAGAGGCACAAACTGTTTCGGAGAACGTGTGAAATTAACTAACTCACATTCAGAAAGTTTCCATAGATTTTCGTCGACGGGGTTTTTCCATTGTTTTTAGGTGAAAAATTTGGGGCAGTAATTCTAAACTAGGAGGAATTTTAAAGAGGCGCAGAAATTTTGAATAGTGTAACGAGGCTACTCTTAGAGAAGAATAACCAAGAGAATGTGTCTAAGTGCAGAACGAAAGCCGATAATGTCGTCGGGCTGATACTTAAAATACTTGTTGCGGGCTTGCCAGCCGCATGACACGGACTGCTTATGAAAACACCTAGCCTTTTTCGGCCAGGAAAGCAGACGCCCGAGAATCTAGGCAACTTCGGGGTCCCCATTTGCATGGTACAGTGGATGAAAGAGTTCCTGATTGACCGGAGAGCGGGCGTGAACTGGAAAAACACCCTTATCCACCTCCGTGTGTTCACAGAAGGACTTCCCCAGGGTTCTCCTCCTCTCTCCTTTGACTGAGCTACTCAGCTTTCTCGTCCAAGAGACCACCCCGACGCCGAGCTCAGCCTCTTCGCGGACACTGCTGTTCTCGGAACGGACAGGTTCCTCGATCCCGCCGCTGCCAGTGTTCAACCAGCCTTAGGCCTCATTGAACACTGGTGCGCCAAGTGGAAATTCAGCCTTAGCAAGGACAAGTGCTGCTTTACCAACTTCACGCTCAATCCGAAGGAAAACAACAACAAGAGAAGGACCCCAGACTCGCCGAATAAAATCCCCTTGGCCTAACGTTAGACTGTCAGCTTACCTTCTCTGCTCGCACCAAAGAGGTCAAACTGAGAATGGCTACTAGACGAAGAGACCTCACAGCCATCTCGGGTCGCTCCACCGGTAGCTCCGAGAACAATCTCTGCAGCGCCAACATCGACATCACTAGAGCAGACGCCGACTATGCGGATGTCATTGAAGCTTAACAGAACAACTGTGCCAGAGTTATCACTGGTTGCCTCGGAGTTACCAGATTTCCGCCCCTGCGTTGACCTTCCGCCAGTGAGACACGTCAGCCAGGAGAGAGCAGCATAGCCTGCCTCCGCGAGCGCATGCTGCGAATCCCCCAAGACACCTACTCAGGGTGACCACTCTTATGAAAAAAAAGTAGCGACCTCATAGAAAAGTACTAATAGCGACGCTTTAGCGACCTTACCTAAGCTCAATTTTTCAAAACTTCCTTAAATCTTTCAAAATTTCCAATTTTTAAAAACTCAAAACTTCCTGTGTCAGTTTAGTTTTGCCCGTGGCATCTGGAAAAATTTGGTAATGTATAAACTAGTAATCAAGCAAACAAGTAGTACACACCAAAAATAGCGACTCCCACAGAAGTAGCGACCTTTTAGCGACCTTTAGCTGATTAACAACCGAGTGATCACCTTGCACCACCAACAGCACGACCAAACCTCGTCTTAAAAGCAGAAGTCACGATTCCCCCGGTAACGAGGAAGCCGCTGACGCACACACAGTTCCGTGGTTTCCGGAGAAGAATGGCAAAGGAGCTCGCCCCCGTCAGCGAACTAGACATATTCGCCCGAGAATCAACTCAACACAGCACCGCCCCCCCTCCCTGCAATACAACCAACACTAACATCAACTTCAGATTCGCCCTCGCTGAAAATTCAAGACAAATACGAACAACGAAAACAAACTGATGATCTTCCTGGAAAAGATCAAAGAGGAAGAACCGTACATTATCGACGTCTTGACAGTCTGGAGAACCATAATGAGAACCCCAGCAGGCCGGCTCTGCTCGTCGTAACAAGCAGAAATACAGTCATCCGCATGGCACTTGAGTACGTCAGCACACATGAAGAACACAATGAGGCAAAAAGGTAAAAACAATGACAGACTCCGAATCCTCAATAGAAAAACTCGCCTAAGTACCAGAAAGCCAAGATTCAGAATGCGGAATCAAGATCTGGAAAGCCCTAAACAAAATCAACAATATCACGTTTTTATGGGCCTCGTCTCACTGCGAAGAGGCCGGTAACGGACGAACCACTTGCATTAAAAAAGTTTCCAGTAAACTTGAAATCGAAAATGACTAAGTTATGGCATCACACGATAAAAACAAGCAGCAAAGTCAGTATTTTAAATTCGTTGACTGGAAAAATATTGCCAACAGTATGCCAAAAACTATATCTAACTTTTAAGCTTTTGAAAGAAAACACCAAAAACATTGCAACAGCAATAAGCTAATTGCGAGGAATCTACTTAATTTGCTGAAACATAATCAACAAACACGAAAGTTTCAAAAATAGAACTTGGCCAAAAAAAAACATTTCGAAAAGTGAAAAATTTATTATTGAACTTAGTGATCCAGAAATACTGATTCTGAGAAATTCAATATACGGAGCAGACCAATTCCGGTTTCATTGAAATCAAACAGTCAACTATCAAACTAAAAATAGAAATCAGTCCAGATTTTCTGATAATAAATTTGAATAAATCTTTAAAAAAAATGGAAGACAAACCTCAAATAATCAAATTTGAGCGTGATAAAATTTTCAGAATTTATCTTAAAACAAACTGAAAACCTATCACTGTCTTTGAAAACCTGTCTTCACCTCGTTCATTGCAAACAAAACGACAAAACTCTCATAAAAGGGCTGAAGGAAAATAACTACCATCAAATACCAAAAGTAAAAAAAGACATTGCGAGATTCCAGCTCGGGCCTCCTCAAGTTCCAATCTCTTTAGCCACCGCAGATTTATTTATATAATTGACAATGAACACGATAGCGTTGAGAAAAAATGATCGCATGACAATACGCCTGCCACAATACAAAAAAACATATTTTGATCAAAACGTTTTCAAAGACATAAAAAAAATGATGTCCTTCAATCTCTTCAAATTTCAAGAAAAAAAATTGACACTTGTTTGATAAAGTTGACCCATATTGAGAACACTGGTTAATTAGATAAATTTTTATTCAGCTGGAAATTCTCAAACTTTAGGACCACTTTGAGATCAACAGTGTTTTTTTTGCACAAATTGCCTTTGGTTTTCGAAAAGCGTGTTTTGCTCAGATGAAAAAAGTTCAAAGAGCACTGCAAGTTCAAAAGTACATTGTAACAAAACCTGTAGCTTAATTTGAATTTTCTAGGTTTTGAATTTTCCAGAAGTATGTTCCGATTTGATAACACTAGCTAATTCAAAACGTAGATATGTTAAAACTTCTGCATTCAGGGAGTCAATATCTCAAACAATTTTGTGTTTAAATTTCACCTTTGGAATTATTATTTTGATCGAAACTGGTCTCTTCGGTCATGAGCACGTTATAATTTGGAACTCATTTATGTTTGCTATTTTGTACGAATAAATTAAATAACCTCGTTTACCTTTTTACACTGCTGATTGTCAATTGATTCGTCTCGTTTGCTCTGCTCACTTAGTTGCTCGGTGTCACAGCATCCATCTAGACTTTTGTCTGTACAGTGGCCTACAACTTCTGCACTCTTCATACTCTCGAGAGAGAAAGACACATTCCTACAAAGACACTTCGAATTCGGCTAACTATCCCTCCTATGATACATATTTTTAAGTTACCAACCGCTTAAAAAACTAATCCCGGGTTTAAGCATCAGTTTGTAATTAGTAACCAATAAAATCCAGAGTTTCATCAGAGGAATGCGATTTATATAGAGGCGAAGCCGAGCTTCACACCTCTTGCGATACAATACAAACGTTAAAAAAAACATTCAAAGACAAAAAAATGATGCCCTTCAAACTCTTCAAATTTCAAGAAAACAATTAACACTTGTTTACACTTGCGAAGCAATGTGTATTAGTATGAACTTCCTTTTTCCAACCTAAGCCGCAAAATTGGTGCGGCACTTTTATGGTGCGGCACCCCAATAATGGTGGGGCACCTTTACAGCTTTTTGATAGCATGTGCTTTGATATTCCAATAGTAATAAGTTAACACAGTTGATGCATTTTAAATTCATCAAATGAATCGAAAAAAGTGATTTGTTTCAAACAACATAACAATAATGAAAACTCGGTTTCAGAAATTTTCTAACAAATTATTTCGCAGTTTTTTGAACCTCTTAATTTATACATTAAGTGGCTTTATTCTTTGCGATTTGTTACATGCAAAGTTAGCTTTGTTTGTGACTAGTGTTTTATCAGTGCTGCTTTATTCGTGGCTAGTGTTTGTCGGTTGTTAAGCTTGCGTGAATGAGTGGATAGTGTGCGAGACTCTAAATCACTTGCGATACAACAAAAACGTAAAAAAACATAAGTCGAAAAAATGGAAAACTTTCGTACGTCTCGATTAAAGAAACCTTGAGGCCCAATCTAAGCTGGAAGTATCTGCATGATATTTCTTGAATTCGTTATTTTGATGCGGGTTGAAATGGGTAATTTCAAAAATTGGACTTTACCCATAATGTTAGTTGTTTCTCTACTAAAATACGTGTGGAAATTTTCCAAGGACAATGTTTTTCTCCTCCCCCGACCTCGCATTATAATAAATTTCATGGTGCAACTAGTCGTTTTACAAGTATGAAGACCAAATATGTTTGTCATAACTTAGTTAATCCACATGTCAATTTTCATAACAATCGGATAACGCAAACAATAATCTAACTTGTCAAAATTCGCAGGCGGGGGAAAAAGAGCCAAATACTTCCTCACAGACTTTTCAAAGAAGGCGGTCTTTTAAAATCGCTAAGTAGTTTTTAAGAAAAACTAAATTTTTGCAAACATAGCCAACTGAGAGTTGGAAAAGAGTAATGAACGCAAGGAAACTGAAAAAAAAACTGACTTGTTTTTTTTCAAAAACCTTCAACTTTTGAATTTCGAAAAAAATAGATGCCCTTACAGCTCTTTGAATTTGTAGAACAATTTATGATGGACACTTTTTGTTAAAACTAACCCATCTTGAGAAAACTGGATCAATCGGTAAAGTTTTTATTTCGCTGGGATTTTCGAAATTAGAAGTCAATCACCTTTTTTATGACCTTTACACTTTTGCTGTTCGATAGAGTGTTTGCCTTTTTTTAACAATGCAAATGCACTGAACTTGAAAAGAAATCACAACTCAAACCGCGAAAAATCAAAATTGAGCGTGAACAAATTCTAAGACTTTTTCCTGACAAAAAAAAACCAAACAAAAACCAGCAAGACCTATATAAGAGAACTCACTACGTTCATTACTCTTAAAAACAATGAAAACGTTTCCAAAAAATGATATAAGAAAACCTACTTCCATAAATTTTCGCAAAATCTATTTTTATCAAACAGAAATTCTAAGATAACAAGTCAAGAAGGTCATTTGAATTTTAAATTCGCAACAGAAACAAATTCAGAAGCGGAAACAAAGCCGACAATCTTTGAGCAGACCAGTTGAGCCGAAAAGAAAAGAACTTTAGAAAAAATTTTTAGAACTTAAATGTCACCCTTGAAACTACAATGAACAACACTTGCAACTACCAAGACATTTGCTTGCAGCACAAGAAAAATCAACGATGTGGCACCCAAGCTGACAAAACTTAGCAGGCCGAAAAAAATTCTATTTCATACATAATGGAAAAAAAGGTCCTGCCGGGACTCAAGATCCAGACCTTAAGGTGCAAAAGCCTCTAGGTCAACTAGGAAGGAAGTTGGAAGCTGTTAAGGTTCAATATTAAAGGAAGTGCAATTTCTTGTAAGAAAAGTTGTTTGGAAAAAAAAGTCTAGTTGCCGATTACAAGACACTTGCTCTCGCAAGTGTACACAATGTAAAGCAAAGGCGGATGCTATTTTTGCTGCATCGGATAAGAAATAAGAAAACAGAATCCAGACTTCTGTAATGAAAAAAAAAATCAGAGTAAAACTTGATCTTGATTAAAAAATTATACCGTTGAGATAAAACGCGTCTCTTTGAAACCGCGCATTTGATAACAAAGATTAGGTGAATTTTGTTTAGGAGAGATCTCAGTTTCATACCAATACAAGTGTCCTTCTATCGCCTGAAACAATTAAGTGCAACAAATTTATTTAGCCAACTTTTTTTAGCAACGATCAGTAATTTGTTCCTTCCACCCCTTGTTCGGAACTCGATAACATTACCACCCCGAAAGGTCAACAAAGTTTTGAAATTTTATAAAATTTCCCACTTCCTACACTATGGTTAGAAGTGATAGCTGACACTATCCATTATTCAGATTACTTTATATATACTTCATTACTTCATATTTAGATTACTAACCTCAAATTATCCACACTTTGACTCTTTCCAGTCATCATCGAGTTGTTCAGAGACAACCTGACGTCATCCTGCTCGTGACCATCGATCGTGTCCACACTAGACTGGCTACTAGTGTACGGCTGGATCATCTCGCTGTTTCCGGTCGAATCAAAGCAAGACTGGATGCGGGATTTGTCTGTTCCTGACTTTTCTCTTTGCTCTTTCCTTTCCTCCTTGGCTTTCGCTTTTTGGTCCAATTTAGCGGAGATCATGAGCTGAATGCGCGCCGTCTCCTCGCCAAATCTGAAACAATCAAATGTTGTTCATTTACATAAAAACTTGTATAAAAATTTTGTATAAATTAAGCATTTCAAAAATATTACGAGATATATAGAATTGGAAAATTTCTGAAACCGAGTTTTTATGTTTGTAATGATATTTGAAGCAAATAGCTTTTTTCGATTCGTTTGAACAATGAAAAATGCATCAACTGCGTTAACTTATTTCTAATCGAACGTCAAAGCACATGCTATCAAAAAGCTGTAAAGGTTCTCCAGTAGTGGTACCAATATTTGCGACTTAGGTTAGAAAAAAGAAGAGTCGTACTATAACACTACCACACTAAAGTTGGCTAGTGTAAACAAAGAAATAAATATAGGCGATAACGTTTTGATTTTTGTGTTCCGCCGACTGAAAATTTTAATAAAGTGTTTTTCATTTTTTTTCACGCTAAGTTTAGAAACCACAAAACAGACCCAAACAAAAAGTTGGAAAAGAGTCATGAAAGCAGTGAAACAGAAAAAAAATTGACTTGTTTTCTAACTTCAGCTTTCGAATTTCAAAGAAAAAATCTATGGCCTTAAAGCTTTTTGAATTTCAAAAACAATTTTTGATTGAATTTTTTTAAATATTCCTATTCGAAAAAACTGAATCAATAGGTAAATTTTTTATTTCGCTGGGAAATCTAGAATTAAACTTTTGATTTACACTTTTGCCGTTCAATAGTGGAGTTTGCCTTTCTTTCAGCAAAGGAAATGAAGTGAACTGAAAAAATTTTAAGTCAAACCGCGAAAAATCAAAATTTAAGCGTAACAAACTTGAGGACTTTTTCCTTAAAAAACACAAACAAAAAAATCACCAAGACTTATTTAAGAGTATCCAGTACGTTCATGAGTCATCAGAATGGATCAATTATATCATAGTAAAGCCCTTTCAATCTAGATTCGATCACGAGAAAATCGAAACATTCGTTTTTTTTCTAATTTTGAGCGAACGAAGCAAGTAACACAAAAAGCACTGAACTAAGTTGCAAAAAAACTGAGTTGTTACTGTGGAAAACTACTTTTTAAAGCTTATTTTAGTACTTTTGCAGCATCGAATTCGAAAAACTTTTTCGTTATAGTTACTTATTGCTAAGATTTGCATTTTAGTGTTATGTTTAGTTATGTCAAAAAAACTTTTCTCTCTTCATCTGCTCAAACCACGCGCAATGTTTATTAGGGAAAATGACAATTCAAGTTTTATTGCTTCAAAAAATCAATGATGGGAACATTCTGTGCAGTAAGAAATTGAAATTTTAATTCTAAATTTGTATCGCATTTAGTACTGCAAAAAAGAATTTAAATGCCTATTTTGTTCAAATGAAAATTGGCATTCGTGGACGAGGTTTTGCTGAGAACGAGCATGCTAACAGTTTTTAAAACATTTTGTTGTGAAATATTTAAGACTTTGTTTAAGGAATAAAAACCGTAGCATTACAAAAATGATTGACATTGAAGGTAAAACAAATGTTATCATATGTAATAGAGCCAAAAGTATTTTGTCATCTATTGCCTGTCAGACTAATTATATGATAACACCTTTAAAAGGTTTCATCTTGATAGCGTATAATTTTTCCTAGAAAATTTTTTTGATGCCCTCACACCTTGACCAAACGTTGGTCATACATTTTTTTCAATTTTCATGTTTCCGATAGACTTCGATGGACAAATTTCAATGAAGTTTAAATTTTTTGTAGCCCTTCAGATAACTCGTTTCTTATTGTTCTGTAATTAATTCAAACATGAAACTAACTTGGGAGGCACTGACGCACTTTCATACACTTCCACTCCACCACACTTGCCCTTGTTGCGACTCGTACTCCTCCTCGGCCTCTTCGGAAACCGAGGCAACGTCCCTTTCAGAAACTTCGACTTATGCGTTGAAGACACTGTCGGCGGATACTTATGTGAAAACACCTTCAGATCTATCGTTCTCAAATCTACATTCTGCTCTGACATTGACGACGTCGAGCTGTGCATTAAACTCGTAACCGAACGAATTGAGCTTCTAGTTGGTTTGGGAGGCGGCTTCGACAATTCGATATAAGCATCAGGTTGAATAGTATTGTCAATCGACAATTTCCGGACTAATTCCGCTATTTCTGGTCTCTGATATGCTGATTCAAATTTGACAGGCGATATCCGCAATTGTTTCGAAATAGTCGAAAGATCACTTCGCGGAGGCTTCATCGGTTTGCTGTTAGTTCCTGTTTTAGCACCTGGAGCGCCGTAAATCGCGATCATCTCGTTAATTGTGTTAGCGACCATCATCTGATTTAAATCAACGCGTGAGGCAATAGAATGTCTACAATAAGGCAGTGAGTTCATTGATAGAATTTCCGCATGTCTGATTAGGTATTCAAAGGTTTTCATTTCCTCAAAATTGACCTCTTTCGAAGGTGTTTCCGCTTTGGAGCTCGAAGCACTGACTGATGTCGATCTTTCATATGACTCAAAGGACTCCTCTGTATAATTTTTGTGGGAAATTGAGCTCGTTTTCTGAAGCGTTGAATGCTCTTTAAGACTAGTGTGAGTTTTCGTCTCAGTTGCAGCTGAGTTTGGTTTCTTCATTCGCTTCATTGTTCCCATGACCGAGGCAACTATACTTGTCGCACTGAACGCCCCATGAGTTGGACTATCATTCAAGTCCAAATGAGCTCCTGCCGTCGTCAAAGAAGGACGCTTTTTCCTGCCAATCGTGTTTGAACTTCCCGGGTCATTGAATGGCTTCAGTTCCAGATATTGTGAAGGTGCCACAGTTTCGGATGTTCCCGCCACAGATGCAACCATCGGAGCTTCTTGTACGTACGCATTAGACTGATTGGACCCTTCTGAAACCGAAGATGTTCTCGATGTAAACGAACCATCTTCAAATCCCGAACTCAGCACGTCATGACTCACCGATACCTCAACAGTCGGATTCGGCATGAAGAATTTTCGTCTCATCTGCAAACTTTTGCTCGCTTGATCTGGATGATTTGATGTCGTTTTGGCAACTGACACATTTGTTTCGCTTTCCTGTTTCAGACTGCTGGTTCTTTTATTACGATCAACAACTGTTTCATCGACTACAGGTCCTTGTACCGTAGGTTGAGCCTCTATTGTCGCTCTTCGGGATGGAAGAATAAGTGATTCGGGTTCACTGCTCTCAACTGGCGTCTCTGGGCGCTTGTAAGGAACAGGTGACGTATGTTTCAGAAGGCGTACTGATGAAGAGCGCGTGCATGATATATTGTCTCCAGTTGTAAGGTAGTTTCTGTCGTCTGTCACTACACTTAAACTGCTTCTGGTTGAAGTTTGACCAGAGATCTCGTCAAGATAAGATGGCGTCGATTTCTGATAGGATGTCTAAAAAATCAAATAATATTTTTACTCATTTCATAAATAGACAAAACAAATATTTCCCATACGCCCGATAGATGAGAAGTTTCCACCATAATAAGTTAATTCCTTAGTGTATACAATAATAAGGCAGTGAAATTATCCGAATAGGCCACAAAAATGCCTGGTATGAGACTCCATTAGAAATATTTCGACAACAATTCTTTTTGAAATATCTCAGGAAGAAGAGGATTGCTCATGCACTTAACGGCTGATACTGTTTCAACTACAAGTGTCTACTTATTTATTGAAGCCCAATGTATCTCTCTAACTCTTAGTTTAATTTTTAGGTCATTGACTTACTCTTGATGACGAGGTAGTGTGTGTTGATGTGATTGAGGCCGAACTGGATGCACCATCGCCCCTTCCTCCAACTCCAGAAGAAGATGAAAACCCTGAAGATGATGTTGTCTGCTGGTAGGCACTGGATGTAGGACCGGGAGACCTCATGCGCATCTTCTCAGCCGAGCCGGTGTCGAAGGCAGCCATTCGGTCTGCAATCGACATTGTTCCCTGCATTTGGAACCTACAACACAAATTAATGAAAGACAACAAAACTCTATAAGAAACGTTCCGAGACAAAATTTTTATTGCATTAAAAAATCCCCCTCGTGAAAAAAAACTAGATCCGTTCTTAATGAAATGAACAAAATCTTTTTATAACTCGTTTATCTCAAATCTAAATCATTTCTTTAGCTGCTAAAAACGCTCTTTTACCGCCTTGGCTAAATATGGTCTCATGCGATTCTATTCGCAAAAAAAGTGCAACTTGACAACAGACCAGAACGGTTAAAGACTTTGAAGCCTTCAAAGTGTTGACATCTTTCTTAAGCGCCCCTTCATCTAAGTCTCCGCACCCCAACAATCACAGACACTATGTGACACTCGTGATAGGCAAATAAAAAAGAAACAGCGCCTTTATTTCTACTCACTTCTGGGATACTTTGCGTGCGTTTTTGAATCTTCGCAACTCATTGCAGGACTCCGTGTCCTCTCCGTCCAGTCTCCTGAGTAGCTCCTCTCTCTCCATCAGACTGACTTGCACCTTCAGGGGACCAAAGTGATGACCAGCACTACTGCTGCTGTTAGCACTCGAGGGTGAATCGTGATGTGAAGACAGAGACACCTGAAGAGACCAGCAAGATGAAAACTTCATTTTGCATGCAACTTAACCGAAAAAAAAAAACACTGTAACGGTAGCTTTCAACACACCTTAAGTTTCAGACAGAAACAAAGAAGCCCTTGAAATCCCAAAGCAAAACACCAATAAACAAAAACGCGCGGCCAAAAAGAAGTCGGAAAAATTTTGATGACCTCAAGAAAGCAGAAAAAATGACAATTTTGCATTTAATTTTTCAACTTTTGCATTTCAAGAGTATTTTATGATTGACATTTTTGTATGAAAACGAACGCCAGCTCGTAAGTTTTTTGTAAGAACTTTCTTAAGCAAAACAAATAAAGAAGAGTAAATAACTAAAAACTTTCATTCCATTCTGTGTTTGCAAAAAAATGAGAATGGCACAGCTCCCCGTCCCAAACCAATTTTAAGCCAAACTGCCAAATTATACCACAGAGACTAAGCTGTATTTGCAAAATCAAGCGAGAAAAGGGCAAAAGGTAGCTCTAAAAAGGAGAAAAATGAAGGAAAGACAACTTTAAAAATGTGCCGGAATCAAACCCCCGACCTGGAGATAATGAGTCCCGGCATCTGCTCCATGGTAAAATATGCGAATACTAGCCAATACAACCGAAAGAAAAGATGATATTAAAATGCCAATGATGTGCAGCGCAAGTGTACACAGAGGCGGCGAAGTTGGCAGAGCTTCGCACCACTTGCAATACAACATTACAATAACAAGGCAATCTAGCAGACATGAAAAAAAAGCCACTAAGTCCAAAAAAAACACCTCAAAACACACTAACTTCAAAAATCCAAAAAGTTGTCTGGAATCATGCTCTATTTGCGGAAAACACGCTCAAAAACACAATCGACGGGAACTAATAAAAATTCAAAAAAAATTAACAAGCGGCAACTGAGCCGACGAAACTTGAAATGATTTCCAATAGAACCGAAAATATAATTGATGTCATGAAAAATAAATTCTTTTCCAAGATTTTTAGCATTTTGTGCGATCCGTTATGCAGCATAAAATTTATGCTTCTTTTAAAATGGCCCCAAGTTATTTTACTTAGCCGATAAAATATAAGCCGAAATTATTAGAGCCGAATTAAGTTTTTAAGCGAAAAACAAACAAAAACAGCAAAGTCTACGAAGTCAAGGATAGTACAATTAAAAATTGCAGGAGTAATTCAAAACATTGAAAACAACTACATTTAAAACAACGTACAAAAAATCAATTCTACGATGTGGCAACTAATCCGACAAAACAAAAGCAGGCAAACTATAGGCCGACATTTTTTTGAAAAGGAATATTTCCAGTTAAAAAACAGCTCCTGGTCAGATTCGAACCCAAGACCTTTGCCATCCCAGGCGTATTCTTCAACTCCAGGCTATTTGTTGGCCACTATTAGAGGTTTAATTTCATTATAAGCCAATATACAAGTGATTCAAGTTATCATTAGCATCCTTGTGTAATTAAGAAGTAGCTAGATCATATACTGCCTAATTAACGCATAAACATTATAGAAAACTTAGGAACAACTTTTCGAATTGAGTTGGAAAAAAGGACTCAGCTTTTATCACTACGCTCACAATCGCGATTGTAAAAAAACCCAATCAAAAACTAAACCATTACGACCAAAAAAATTGCCAAATAGGTACGATTGAACGTCGATCGTTAAAAAACTTTATTTCAGGGTCATGAATCATTTCAACGTAATAAATTTTCACCTCCCTCTTGAGTAATTTAAAAGTTCCAGGGAAAAACCCAGTATATCCTTTGCTTTAGCAAAAGAAAGCAACGTATTCAGGTGAGTTTTAGAGGCGCTTTGGCCATTTCCAAGTCGAAAGCTCTATGCTTTGAAGCGCTCAATTTTTATCAAAATTACAGAACCGTTTGATTTCGGCACCCATCATTTTACTATTTCTAGCTCTTGAAGTTCAAACAACTGAACATTTCTTCCAGGTCTAGAAGAGTGACAAATCGAACTTACTGACCTGTGAATGATCAGACGCGTAGTGTTTCTGGGATTGAGATATATGAGGGTTCGCCACTGAATACGTCGGCTTACTGGGTGGTCTAGATACTGAGCAACTTCCGGATGTATTCTGCAGGAGGGGCTGCTTCATAAGCAGAAGACTGGCACTACCTCCTGATGACCTACGTTCTCCATGATCACGACTACTACTCGTATCTGTTCAATTAACGAGAAAAGCAGTTTATTTCAGCAATAAAATAATAAATGATCATAATAATAGTTGAAAAAACTTTATAATAAAAAAATTCTCAGGGCAAAACAAGTTTGCTGTCATACTGGGAATAATATATATTTTTTGCATCGGCAAAAATTTTCATTGAAATCATTGTGGAACAATTGTTTTTCTCGGGTACATCCAAACTTTCTGCTTTGTTTTTTTAGGGAGGGGCGAGGGAAAGGAAGGTTTTTCAATAATCAAAGATTTTCTTCACATTTTTCAAAGTTCGAATTCAAATTGAGTTCTCGAGCTCACCCAAAACACTAAAAAAGGCCATACCTTGTCAACAGTTTCAGGTCCACGGGCGCATTTTTGACTTTATAAAGGGCGATACTTTTCTTTTCTCCATCCTGCGACACTCTTCTATTCAATCTTTTGTTCATAATGTTCGATTGCAAAAAAAATAGAAATATGCTGACTAATTGGGCTTTCCAAACGTATTTGGTTCATTTACTTAACCCTGTAACACCCCACGTTACACAATCATTTTGGAGCTCGGTGAGGGGGTTAGAAAAAAGTAAAATTGAGCCAAAAATGACTTTGTCGGGTACTTTTGGAAGTGTTGACCAAGAACGGGAATAAACCCCTGATAATATGCCCTGATTTGATGAATTTTTGAGTCCTTTCTACGTCCAACCGTTTCTTTTTGCCAGTCTTGAAACAACACTATCTTAAGAAACGATATGTCAAAAAATTACCAATTGTCAATCGTTGGTTATTTATACTTCAAATTTATTGGTCTGGATTTTATGCCAAATAACCGCAAATTCAGGTATTTGTTTAAAAACTGACAGATACAAAGTCAATATGAAGTTTGAAAGCTATCACTTGTTTAGATATTTACCAGCACTGAATCCTTGATGATGATGTAGTTGTTCCTTCGAAGTATAGGATACTGATGTTGATGATGTAGTGGACAACTTTTGTTCTTGGTGGGAAAATGAGACTATTTCGTCTTTGGAAGTTTCAGTTGAATACTTCTTGGTCCATTTCGAAGTGTCTCTGTACGAATTGTCTGATGCTTCAGCGGACCTGCAGTTCGAAACAGAAACAGTTGCGATATTACAATATTTACCCTTCTCAAACTCCAAAACACATTCAAAATATTTCAACTACCACGAGAGAGAAGCATAGCATACACCATCAAATTTGAGCTCGCAACCTCAAGTTTGATAAGGCCAAACAATTCTACAAGTTTAACAGCAGTTTGAAACCTTTTTAGATTACAGTCAAATAGGCTGTCTAAATCAAGCGCAAAATGAAGAAAGCAAGAAATGTATGGATGATGTTTTCTCAGGTGCATATCATTCAGCCGATGTGACAAAGATCGAAAAAGAAAAACGTTCAAGGGTCATCTGAAATCTCGAACCTCTGCAACCATAAAATTAAGGAATTTTCGACGTTTGTTCATAACCATTTAATGCAATAACTAAGAATTATTAGGGGTACCTTGTTACTTCTGATTTTGCCGACTTGGAGCATCAAACTTGCACCAGTGTTACCCAAATAAATTAATCTTAAGACAGGCAAGATTAAGAGTCAAGCGTCGTCCTAATAGCAAATTAACAACCATCTACAAACAAACGATTTAGATAGCGGTCTGTGGTGCTGCAGCGACCTGCATGCGTGCCGCTTAGCATGCGCAATTTAATTTATTACTCACTTTGTTCCGGCATGAATCAGTTTAAGTTTCAGTTGCAATTGTGAGTAAAAAAAACTCAGTTCTAATTGCGCTAATAGCCGCATGTAAGCGGCAGGCGTGCTAGTAGGCCGGCCCCTGCGGTCTGTTGCCAAGACAAAAACACAAAATACTTCCTCTTCTACTCAGGAGCAGGGTTAGCTTACATACACATGAAAAGTACGGTTACAATTAATTCAGGATGATAATTGAATCAAACTAAGCTTTGGAGATGAAGTGGAGCTTCTAATCTCTTACCAGAGAAAAAAACACTGGCATGCCTTCTGACTACAAAATTTTCGACAAGTCTAACTCAATTTCGACAATTCTAACAAAAATAATGAAAGAGAACGCGTAAAACATAATCTGATAAACAGTAAAATCGCAAAAAATATAAGTTCTGGTAGACTTAATCAAAAAATTTAGCCGAATAGACATGCACACATTGACTTATTTCACGTTATCTTGAAAAAGCTACCCCGGCATTGCAAAATTGGAAAATTCAAAAAATGTGTATAAAATTTGAAAACTTTTTTTTTGCTTTTTTATTGACTATGAAAAACTGTTGTCAATTAAATCAAATGCTTCTAATCTAAGCAACAATACATCAAGCCCCTTTAAGACCGCTCAAAAAAACAGCCAAAAAATGACGCAAAGGAAAGTTTTTTTGAAGTTGTTGTTTCAGTTTGTACTCGGTTTTCCAAAACAAAAAGTTGTAGAACTTTGCTGAGCCAACACTTTGTAAGTAATACATGATTAATACATTCAGCACTATATAAATTTTATGAACGAATACGATCAAAATAGCAAAAAAGGCGCTCAAGTTTCAACAAAAAACTGAACCACCGCTTCAGTAAAACAAGCTTTGTAAAAATTCTTTAAACAAATTCTTTAAGACAAAAGCTTGTGAAAGAAAGAAAACAGCGAACAGACGGTTGAAAAAAAGACTAAATGAACAAAAGGATAGAGAAAAAATAAATCACTTTTTTTTGAAAAAATTTCAACTTTCGAACTTCAAATTTAAAAAAATCTAGCCTTAAAGATGACTTTCAGGAACATTTATGATCGACACTTTCATGATAAAAATTAACTCCGTTTTTGGAGAACTAGATAAGTAGGCAGAGTTTTTATTCCGCTACGAAATCTGAAAATTAAAAGGCAAAGCTTTAAGACCTTCACACTTTTACTAATCTAGTTGAGTTTGCCTTCCTTTTAACAAAGCAAAAGAATTTAAACTTTTGCCTTCCTTTTAACAAAGCAAAAGAACTTAAATCACCAAGACTTGTATGAGTGTTTGCTCTACGTTCATACTCTAAACAATTAAATAATGACAAACATACAAAAGAAAAAAACACAGACCTTTGCAAAGTTGTTCACACAGAAATAAAAATGCACTTCGAAACACAAGTAAAATTAAATGGAAAACTCAACCGTATGGAAAAGCAAAAAATGAAACCAAAAATGATAACCTTGTTACAGATTTTTTTAAATATCCCACTAACAGAAGTATAAATAGATATGTTACTCGTCTGTCGAAGTATTAAAGAGAACAAACATATCTTCTCAATTAATATTGAATTGAAATGACCTCTGATCCAGATTAATCGCCGCCTACGCTCCGATTTAATCTGGATTTAATTTTCTCGCCGCCGCCTAGAAAACTGCTAAAAAGCGCATATTAATCATCCTAAACCAGAGTATAACGCACCTCCGGTGCTTTGAACAGATAATTGAACAAGAAAGCTGCTTATAAATTAAATATATCAAGATAAAAAACAGTGAAAGGAAAGCAACCTTAAAAAAACGGGACAATTCAACAACACTTTTGATTTCAAAAATTGAACGATGAAAACAATTTTGACTTTAAACTAGAACTAGCGTGTAACGCACCTCCTGTGCTTCGAATTTTGAACAATTCATCAAAAACCGTAAATATTTGAAATAAAATCTGCATCCTTTGAGTGTAATCTGCAAGCACCGAGTTACAGGGTTGGTATTATCAAAGTTTTTGATATCAAAGTTTTTGATATCAAAGTTCTTTGAAAAATTTTAAACTTAATTAAGGAACATCACATCTCGGCATCTAAAACCAATTGCCCAGTCGCATTTGGACGTAAGATTTGCAACTGCTGAGAGCTCTTACAATAAACAACTACAGCGTGGGAATTTCAAACTTTGAGTAACTTTAAAATAAAGTTTTCTGAAAAATTTTTCGAAAAAACAAAGAACGTCATATCTGGAAAACTACAATGACCTGAGCAGTCAATTTGAGGGCAACGTTCGCAACCCCTGAGACCTTGAGTGTACTCTGACAACCCGCAACTACAGGGTTGTGAAATTCACATTTAGAAGAAAAAAAAGATTTTAGTTTTCTGAAAACTTTTTGAAAAAAAATCACAAAAAAAGTCGTATCTCGAAAACTACAAAAATTTGAGCAATCATATTCGGAGGCAAAATTCACAACTCCTGGGAGTACTCTGACAGCAGCCAAGTACAGGGTTGGGATTTTCAAATCTTTTGATTTTGTTTAAATCTAAGTTTTCTGAAAATTTAAAAAGAAATCCGAAAAACGTCATATCTTGAAAACTACAATGATTTGAGCAGTCATATTTGGAGGCAAGATTCGCAATCCTGAGAGTTCCCTGACAGCGCCCATCTACAATGTTGAGACTATCACATTTTGTGAAATTATTAACTTAATTTTTCTGAAAGTTTTGAAAAAGTCCCAAAAATCGTCGCATCTCAAAGTAAAAGTATTTGGGTATTCATAATTGGAGGCAGAAACCGCAACCCCAGGAGAAACCTGACAGTACTCCACTAATAGGTTGTTAATTTAAAACTTGGTGAAAAAACTGGAAAATCGAAAAAATCTTAATTATTGCAATATACGATATAGCTTAAAGATGAAAAATTCTTTCGTTAAACATGCAAAAATAATACGTTGAAAAAGCTGAAACATGGCGAGATAGTGAAGCCCGCAATCAAATATAGTATCGATAGATAGATAATCACATCTCCGAAACTACTGGCTTTCAGATCTCCGTAAACAAAACCTTGGCCGACGGGTATTCATATTTGGAGGCCCAATTCACAACCCCAAGGGTAACATTGACAGCATCCCACTTTAGAGTTGCTAATTTCAAACTTAACAAAAAACTGAACTCGAGCTGTAAATCAAGAAAAAAACTCTTTACCATAGCAATATACGACATAGCTTGAACGTGCAAAAATTCTACCGTTAAACATACCAAAATAATACGTTGAAAAAGCTTGAACATGGCGAGATAGTGAAGCCCGCATTTAAAAACATACTGAATAGATAAATTATCCACAAGGCACTTTTCCAATGCACATTATTTTTCAGAAAAAAAGCTGATTCAAAATATGTTTCTTTTTACTTCGAGATCAAGGAATCAACATCTTTTACATGCAACAGCCTTCATCAATATCCTCTGCTCCGTTGAAAAAAGGTTATCATATTGTTAATACATATTTTAATCCTTTGATTGTGTAATGAACTCCAGAAATCAAGAATTATGACTCACTTTTCTGAAGCATTCGCAAACTTTGAGCTTTTTGGGCAAATGAGACTCTCAATGAAGACTATCAACTCTAGAAACTAAAAAGGATACCGGTTATTCGCGCGCTTTGCACATTGACCATTGAAGAACGTAATTGGCTTTCCATTAGATCTATTTCAAGTGAACTCAAACTAGAAGTCTAACTGCCAAAATCAATACCTTGGTGTCGAAAAATTTGAAGACAGTTGGAACAGTGCATAGGAACAACGACACATGAAAAAAGCTGGATAAAAACTTTTGAACCTTTTTCATTTTTCGAATAACGAAAATGAAAAAAAATCATATGGAAGCTTTTCACATTCAAAGACTGTATATGATTGGCCCTTTTTTGTTATAACGTTTAGAGAAAACTGGATCAAACTTAAATGTTTCAAATCTCCTGCGAACTCATAAAATTTGGGATCATTTTTGAAACTAGAGGTCATTCACGTTTGATTTGACCTTTTCACTGGTTCTGTTCGATAGTGGAATTTGCCTTAATTTCAGAAAAAAATGAAGTGAGATTAAAACGGAATCACAAGCCAAACCACGAAAAACCAAATTTGAGCGCTAACAAAGAAAAAATTAACACAACCTATATAAGTGAAACTCACTTCGTTACTTTACGCGTAAACATAAAATGACCCAAGTCATCATTTCACTAAATTAAAATTTAACATAGCAAAAATACCATTTGAAAAATGCTATTGAGCTCAAATAACTTTTTTTTAAAATGGTAAAAATTCGTTCCAATTTTTTTGACCTTCATCTGCAAAAATATATCGCCTTAAAGACTTTCAAAATACAAAAAAATATATTCTTGACTCAATCTACTTTACTTTGATCGGAGGGGGTACATAGCAGAACGTTCTCAGAGCCTTAAATTCTACACTGACAAACCGGAGATCACATACTACTAGCGTTTAACGCACCTTCGGTGCTTCGAAAATTTTCGACAACTCATGAAAAACCGCATATATTGGAAACAATATCTGCAAACTTTTAGTGTACTCTGACTGCATCCAATTACAGGGTTGGTAATTTCGAACTTTTAAATTTAACTTAATGGGCCTCTCGAGAAACTTGGAGGCCAGATTTGCAACTACTGTGAGTCACTGAGAGCACCCTACTATAGGGTTAGGAATCCAAAACTTTGTGAACTTTTTTACACCTAAGTTTCCCGAAAAAAAAATTGAAAAAACATCTTATCCCGGAAACTAAAAGGATTAGAGCATTCATATCAAAATGCAGGATTTGAGACGCCTGGGTGTACGCTGACAATAAGGTTAGTAGTTTCAAATTTTTTGAATTTCGTTGCAGATAAGTTCTTTTAGAATTTTTGAAAAAAATCAAAAAACGTCACATCTCAGAAACTAAAAGCATTTGAGCAGTCTCGTTTAGCAATCGCATGTGGCAAGATTTGTTACTCTTTAGAGTACCCTGACAACACCGAACTATAGCGTTGGGAATTTCAAATTTTGAAAAATAATTAATTTACACTTTCTGAAAATTTTGAAAAAATCACAAAAAACGTCACGTCTTGAAAACTACAAAGAATCGAGCAAGAGAGGAGGCAAGAGTCGCAATCCTTGAGAGTACTCTGACAGGACCTAACTACAGCGTTGAGAATTTCAGATTTTTAAAGAAAAATAATAAATTAAGTTTTCTGAAAATTTTTGAAAAAATCACAAAAACGTCATATCTCGAAAACTACAAGGAATTGATCAGTCATACTAGGAGGCAAGATTCGCAATCTTTGAGAGTACTCTGACAGGACCTAAATACAGTGTTGGGAATTTCAGATTTTTAAAAACTAATAATAATTCAAGTTTTCTGAAAATTTTTGAAAAAATCACAAAAAACGTCATATCTCGAAAACTACAAACAAATTGAGCAGTCATATTTGGAGGCAAGATTCGCAATCTTTGAGATTACTCTGACAGGATCCAACTTCAGGGTTGGGAATTTCAGATTTTGCGAAAAAAAATTAATATAAGTTTTCTAAAAACTTTTTGAAAAAAATAACAAAAAACGTCATATCTCGAAAACTACAAGGATTTGAACAGTCATATTTGGAGGCAAGATTTGTAACTCCTTAGAGTACTCTGACAGCACCCAACTACAGGGTTGGGAACTTCAAATTTTTTAAATTATTTTGTTATTTGAATTTTCTGAAAATTTTTGAAAAAATCTCAAAAATCGTCTTATCTCGTAAACTAAAATGATTCGGGCATTCAAAATTGGAGGCCAAATTCGAAACCCCTAATTCGATATTGGGCTGCTTAATTTAAACTCGTTAAAATAACCACTAAAATCAAATTGGAAAACTGAAAAAAAAATCTTAACCAGTGCAATATACGATATAGCTTAAACATGCTAAAATAATACGTTGAAAAAGCTTAAACATGGCGAGATAGTGAAGCCCGCATTTAAATATATAACAAATTCGAAACCCCTAATTCGATATTGGGCTGCTTAATTTAAACTCGTTAAAAAAACCAAAAATAACCACTAAAATCAAATTGGAAAACCGAAAAAAAATTCTTAACCATTGCAATATACGATATAGCTTAAACATGCAAAAATAATACGTTGAAAAAGCTTAAACATGGCGAGATAGTGAAGCCCCCATTTAATTGAAAAAGCTTAAACATGGCGAGATAGTGAAGCCCGCATTTAAATATATAATAAATTCGAAACCCCTAATTCGATATTGGGCTGCTTAATTTAAACTCGTTAAAATAACCACTAAAATCAAATTGGAAAACCGAAAAAAAATTCTTAACCATTGCAATATGTGATATAGCTTAAACATGCAAAAATAATACGTTGAAAAAGCTTAAACATGGCGAGATAGTGAAGCCCGCATTTAAATATATAATAGATTTAACTGCTAATACCATGCAGTAAAAACTTTTACCAAATGAACACTACTTTATGCTCCTTGGATTGGAAAAAAAAACAGTAGACTGACAGTAGGAAAAAGGTAATGAACGCTAGGACAAAAAAAGTCGCTTTATGTGCCTCACTTTTGTTGATTCTTTTTTTTTCACTTTGAATGTTATTTTTAGGCTTTGACATTGTAATTTTTGGCGTTCCACATTCGTTGGAGAACCTGATTGGTGATTTCATATCATTCCAACTGTTTTCAACTGGTTATAAACATGTCTCAAATACCTATTGAGCTATCTCACTATCCCCCCACGCAAGAATTGGGGGGAAATTGCTCAACTGATTCTAAATTAAGCGTGAACAAATTTTCAGATTTTTTCAAACAAAAAAAAACACTTAAAAATCACTTTGACCTATATAAGAGTCTTCTCTACGTTCATTTTTTAAATCAAATACATATGCCCTTAAAGCTCTTTTAAATTTGACGAACAACTTATGATGGGTATTTTTTGATATACTTAACCCAAATTGAGAAAACTGGATCAATAGATAAAATTTTATTTCGCCGGGAAATCTGATAATTATATTCCATTTTCGAAATAAAAAGTGGATCACGTTTTTTGTGACCTTTACACGTAAGCTGCTCGATAGCGTAGTTTGCTTTCCTTTAACAAAGGAAATGAAGAGAACTTAAGAAATCAAAAGTCAAACCTCGAAAAATCACCATTGAGCGTAAACAAATTTTCTTGAAAAAAAGCAAAAAAAAATTACCAAGACCTCAATAAGAGTGCTCAGTACGTTCACTTTTCTTAGTGACACAATGCTCACAAGCTCGCTTGTCTAAAAAATGGAACGGATATGTTTATTTTTTCTGCTGGGAAATTGAAAGATTAAAATTTTTTGAAACTTGAAGACAAGGTCACTTTCGCACCCTTTACCCTTTCGTTATTGGAGAGCGTAGCTTGCCTTCCATTTGGTAGATGAATTTGAAAACTTATAGCGCAATAAAAAGTAAGCTAATTTGAAAACATTTTACTGAAAAAAAAACCACGCGGAATGAATACTTTTCATTTCACTTCAAGGGTTAAAGAGTTTTTATTTAATCAAAAAATGCTCTCCAGCCCTGGGCAGAAAATTGATAAGAAGAAGGTTGATGCAGCAGACAACAGCAGTGTAGTGCACGTAATATCTTCGAAGTAAACTGACCATCACAAAGTTTAGCCCTTTCAACTATAGAAAATAAAAGACAGACAACATCGATGCTTTGATGACGAAACTATACTCATTGTTAACTAACATGCCCGGTCCATTCTTTTTAGAGGCCTTCTTCCGCTTTTTCAACTTCGCAAAGAAGTTCGAGACAAAGCTGTAATGGAACATTATAACTAACTCAAGTAATAAACGCAGATATTTATTATAAATTGATTTTAAAAAAAACAAATCTTATCTTCCATTTAGCTAATGTGAGAGCAGCCATAATTAAACAGTTCAAAAATTAGGTTAGACTTATAAGCCCAAATAAGCAAGCATTAATTCAAAGCAGAGAATAAGAAACCAAAGAGTATTTAAAAAAGAAAGCATTCAAAATTTGATCGCATTGTCTTGTTTCAAAATAAAAACTACATTAACCAAAACCAACTTAAGCATCTTTCATCATTCAGTGCAGTTAAATACTAGAATGTGCAGAGAAAAGATCGGAATGAATTACGAGCAGGTTTAAATAAAAGGTAAAATGCACACTCAACACTTACCAGGGTGTGAATCTGTTTCTAAAATGACCACGCCTGTTTGAGATTATTTATTGAATTAACATTTACTAATATTTTCTTCGCCTTTTACTTATACCGGGACTAAAAATCAAGTTAAACTTGTTCTAAAGAAGATTTTAACTAAATTTTTATTGCAATTTTTAGTCAACATTTCAAAGCAGGCAGCGGTAGTTTAGTCCGAACAACGTTTCGCAGCATCCAATCCGATTGTAACTCAATTTCAGAATACTGAAGTTTCAAATTTCGAGGTATATTAACACCATTAACACACTATAACTAACCTGATAGATCGGTAGTTAACAAGGCATAATGAGAGAAAAAATGCAGCTACAATGATAAGTATAAGCTGCATCAAATCATCAGGTGCCATATATGGGCACTTACCATTCTGGCAATGCAAAACTGTCCCAAACTCAGGATAAAATTAGACGAAAGTTAAACTTCTCTAACGGAGGACATTTTACCAAAGGAAAGGAACAAAAATTCAGCCTTATGAAGGTGTAAGCATGATTTAACATTTTATTGCCTTCAAAAACAATACGTTTCTGGTTTTCATACATGAATTCTAAATTTTCGATGTTTATTCTCTAGCTTAGATTTGTCAATCTAGTTTTGAGCAAGAACTGCACTCAGTGTGAAGGTATCCAATATTTTTAACAGAAGAGCACAGTCAACTATGAAGGAAACTTGAGCTGATCGAATTATAGCACACATTGCAACTTCTGCATTAAATAATTTAGCCAACTATCGAAAAAAAATTATCTCAACCGGAATAACTGTATGGTAACTGTGGTTTTATAAGGGAATATAGCCGCATTCAATGTACACAAAACTCCACAACAACGTTTCAAGGATTGCAGACAGTTGAAAAATGAACGCTCAAAAATTTAAATTGAACTCAGGAAACTGCAAACAGTTACAGTGGCAGGAATTGAATCGACTCGAAACGATACAGCGTATAATGTAAAAAGTCTTCAGACATTTTGACAAAAAATAGAGGTTAATGGATCAAAAATATACTTTTCGATTCCAAGTTGGATATAATTTAAATAAGTGACCCCATTAAAAGCTGCAAAAAAATCTGCAGAAAATCGATCGTCAAAAAAAACCAACAAAAAAATCGAAAACAATTCTGAAAAATATAAAAAGTGAACACTTAACCGAATTAAAAACTCCAAGAGGATAGCACTGTAATACACACAGTATAGCACAGTATGTGATGTTTTAAAAAATCTCCAAAAATGTTAATAAATTATATGGAAAACTGCAAAAAAAACTTCAAATCTTTAGCATTGATCTTTTCAGACATCAAATCAAACCTTGTTGTCATAGCATGGTTCAACAGAGGCGAAGCTGCACTTCGCAAACACAAGCAACAAAAAGGCCAGAGCAGCCTGGAATGAAATAAATTTTGCTGTGTCCAGCTCCGACCTCGTTATTAAGGGTCTCACAATCTCACATCTGCGCCAAATTTCAAACATTAGCCACTACTGAATCAACTGCGGATGCCATGCAGCAAAAATGCTAACAGATATGAACAAAACTTGTGCTAAATGCTGCATTTGGACCTCCGACCTGTAAATTAGGAGTTTCACGTCCTTCCATTTGCGCCAAGGTCGCTTGGTGAATCGGCAAACACAAGCCACTAAAAAAGCAGAGAAAAGATGAACTTTCCAATGCTACGCCTACAGGTCGTGATTATAGGAAAAATTATATGAAATAATCTCTTTTATTTGCGAGTTTGCAAAGAAAAAAAAAGTAGATTCATACTATGACACTACGCTCGCTTATTTGATAGTTTAATCAGAAAGTTGGAAAAAAGTTTACAAAGTTATGAAAACTGAAAACATCAAATTTTAATTAATTGCACAGAAGAATATAGATTATCTTGAAGTTCTTAAATGATTGAAACTTTTTGATAAAATAACCTTAATAAGACAAGTCGATCAATTTTAATGGGTATTTTTTTCATTCCGCTATAAAATCGATAAATTCATATCCACTTTTAAAATTTGAAGGCAAGCTTTGAAGGCACGCAATGCTCAAGAGTCGTTTGCATTTTTGTTGAGAGCTTAATCGGCCTTGCATTTAACAAACGAAATTGAAACAGTCGGAAAAATAAACCGGAGATAATTGCGAGAAAAAGATTTATCATCAATCGAATATGCCGCAAACTCTATTTGTACGCTCAATTTTGAAGAGGGAACTGTTTTAGCTATTGCACTTTTAGCATTGAAGAGTTTAAATTCAAACCCAAATCAAAGATCTTCAAAGACTTCAAAACACGAGAAAAAAATTCGTTCGTTCACAAACTATGGAAACATTGAGCGTCTTTTTTGTTTATTCCGTGCAATATCTAGGATTCAAAAAATGCAAAAACACATTTTAACATCGTGTGGTTCTAATCACATCACAATGGCTGCAGGTAATTTTAATCTCTCCTAATAAAAATATCGCCCACTGAAACTTGGTTTTCGCAGATTAAGCAGAAAGAAAAGATCAAACAAGATTGCTCGTATCAAGATAAAATCCTAAAAATCCGACTGCGCTTTGATAGTGTCTTACAATTTAATACCAGCCAATTTAACACCGTTCATTTTAATACCTAGTCATTTCATACTAAAAAAATTAAGACCACAACAATTTAATTCCTATTTTATAACTTTAAATCCTATCACACCAAAGTTAACCCTGCAAAAAACGAACGCGTCGCATTGAAAAACTTGAATTATCTCAATTATACATGCTGAAAACAAGCTTCTCAAACTACTTAAGACTCTTATCGACAAGTTCCTAATTTATTTTCAACTAAACCATTACGACTATTAAAAAAAACCAGCTTGAGTTAATTCATAACAGTTTCACGTAATATTTCTGAAAAAAATTTTGGAAATTTTATCCGGTATGACAGTGCGTCAAATGATCACCAACGAATCAATTTGTGCGGTGGCCTCGAAATGCTGAGTTCTGGAAAAATCATCTTTCTGGTTAGTCGATGGAGCTTTTAAACTTACTCCCAAAATGTTCTATTAGCTATATTCAATTAACATTAGTGTATCTTGTTTTGCACCAGCTTGCATATACGCCTTTCTTCAAAAGTCACCTACGAAACGAATCACGATTTAGCGGTGGCCTTAAAAATGCTGCCTTCCCTTGCATTCGAAAAACAAGAAAAGATCGGCGAGTGCTATGATTTGATCGCTCAGGAAATTCAGAATGTGAAGTGTAAAGTTTTTTGTTTATTCATTCGTATCTTTAAACTTCTAAATTTAATTCTTATTAAAAATGTTGTTCAGCTTTTTTGAAAAGACGTTTCCTTGCAGACTTCTGGAAAACGTAACTAAAAGTAAGAGCTTGACTCGTGCACTAGCAATTCAAACCCAGGACAATCGCCCTTAAAATCGGGATGCTAGGTTGGGACTAGGGGTAGGGGCTGTCAAACCCTTAAGCTTTGCGTTTATGTGCCAACAATTCAAAAAAAGCTGACCAAAGCAACATTGTTATAAGTTTCAGTTCGAAAATGATTCTAAAGTTTGAAAATGAACACTTATTAAATAGTTTGCTTTCAGGTTAATGTTTCTCCGGAGTAGCCGTGGTTGCTCCGTGTAAATGTATAGACGTTATCATCAACTCAGAACGTCTTCATCTAGAAACCTGCTGATTGCAGACTCTCAAGTAAGGAATCTAATTTTTCCGAATTTCAACATTTTGTCTCTACCTGGAGCTCGGATTGGCAGTGTGATCGACTTCTTGCCGGAAAAGGGTAAATACGATCTAATTGTACTTTTCATTGGTGGTAACGACGCATACGAACGCAACGTACCATCTTCTGTCTCCGAACAGGGCATAGCCAACGAGATTTCAAAATTAGCAGACGAATTATCCCTACGCGCCCCAAAAATCTTTATCCTCGTTAAATAGAAACTGAACAGCTGGTCTCCCCTCTCGGGAACCATAGGTTTACATAGGTTTACATATCTGTTCCCAGCCTCAGAGTAGAAACAGTAAACCGCAGGACTCCCCTTTCGGGAACCATAGGTTTACCTATCTATTCTCCCAGTCGTTGTAATGGTCGATAAAGCGAAAGTTGCTACTCGTTCCCTAGTAACTTCGGCTTCCGATGAAGCCTGCAAAACATGTAAAGGACCAGTGCGTGCACGTGACCCACTTTTCATCTGTATAGCTTGCTCTTGCAAAATTCACCTAACCGAAAAATGTACCAATCTGAGTGCAACAGCAATAGCTGGAATAACTGAATTGAAGACAAATGTAATGCTATTGTGCAATGACTGTGTGGAGCAAAACAAACGCGATGAAATAATTTCTCTCATTGCAAAAATGGAGGTAAGTGAAACCAATCAAAGCCAAATTATGAACATCGAGAAAGAAATGATTGAACTCAAAAATTCTCTTCTCGAAATCAAAACTGCAATGATCGGAAAATCTGATCCACCTAAAACAACGCAAGTAAATCAACCAGCAGCAACCATTCGCAAAACACCTGAAGCAACAATGGTCCCTGAGGAAATACGAGTGCGAGGAATCAAAGAATCAGACGACAGAGATCCTAGAAGGCGACAGGAACACAACCTTGCAGAAATCCAGCAGGTATTTGCCCACATTGAAGTTAACTGCAACATCAACGATTTACTGAGACTTGGACCACGAAACGATACGAAAACCCGAACAATCCGAGTCAAAGTGTCCAATCCTTGGCAGCGCCGGCTTATTCTTTCCTCGGCAAGCAAACTAAAAACGTACGACGAGCCAGTCTATCTCAGTCGTGAGCTATCACGAGAGGAAGCAACACTAGAAAATGAGGCGCTACAAAAACGTCGCGAACTTATTAACGAAGAAATTGACAAAAAAGACCTCAGGATTCGCGATGGGAAACTGTTAATACGACAAGACAACAAATGGGTTGTCTATGAGGACCCAAAGGAGGCTAATGATTGACTAAACCACTACGCAACTGTTCTTTTATTCAATGTACGAAGCAT